CTCAAAAGTCAAAATTCGGCTCAAAATTAAGGAATTTGAGTTGTAGGCATTTTTAGCTCCCTCAGCCTCTCCTACAACTATTTCATCACATAAGAACCCCTCTAAAGCGTATTTTTTCCCATACGAGACATGTTTGTCACCGCCATTTCGTCATGAAGTCAGTATTTTATTTTTCTTTATCGGCCGTTTTCTCAAAACGCGACTTTTCTCTATACTTTTTTTGAATAACTCCACCATTTTTCATCCAATCTTTATGAAATTTTCACAAAATGAAGAAAAGACGTAATACATTTGTTGAATTTTTTATATATGGAATAGATTTTTGTTGGTGGTGTCTGGAGTGTGGATTTTTACGGATTTTTTGAAAACTTGAAAAAATTCATTAAAAATTTTCTAATTCGTTCAGGAAAAAAACAACAGAAATTTTTTAAAATCTAATGTTTGTAAACACGCATGAAAAAAACATTCAATTTCCAAGAGCGATAAGTGCGGTATTCATTACGTAAGACATGTCCACAAAATCCAGTATGGCCACCGTATCCATGGAAACGAAACTTTTTCTCAAATCTGATTGCGGATTTAAAGACTCCTTAGTGTGCTTGTTATACGTGTTAAAGTTGGTAAAATTCGGTAAAGTAATAAGCGAGATAGCCTTCAGGTGTAGCCCCCCCCCCCTCCTTAAAGCTTGTGCACTTGTCTTTATTTGGATGAAAAAAAATATCTATATTTATCTTGAATACAAGTCGAGATATTTGCGAATGAAGGAGGTGGGGGTCACCAGTTTTCAGAGGTAAAATAGATGAGAAAATGGCCGCCAAAGATTAGTTATTTCCTTAGCTTAAGAGTCCGTGGTAACTGAACATTTTTATTTTTTGTGCCTTTAATCAACGTTTTTCCGAAAAATCCACGCAGAAATGAGTTCTTTAATGGACATGAAAGGTGTGGAGCCAAAAATAATTTTTAAAATAAAAATTCACAAACCTGCGGAAAAAATGCAAGTTTCTTCACTTTGATTATTTTGACGAGAGCCTGATTTCACCACGCTGCCTCACATTTAGATTCAATTTATTGCTGGTCGTCCGTATTTTAAATTCTCCAATACATTGTTCAGTAGAGTCGACTAAAAGTGGTACTTGATCGAAATCAATAGACCTATAACTCTGAGGGTCACCAGCATAAAGATGGTAATTCATGCCATATTGTCTTAAAATATCAGCAATAGGTTGTGTATATATTGTAAACAAGACAGGCCCAAGAACAGACCCCTGAGGAACAACACATCTAAGAAAAACGGTATCAGAACACGTGCTTCCAACCACAACTGCCTGGGTTCGATCTTTAAAATATGACTCAAACCATCGCAGGACTACCCTTTATACCAACAGTAGTATTTAATTTCTAAAATGAAATGTCATGATCAATGGTATTGAATTCAGCCGAAATGTCTAAAAGAGTAGAAGATATACCTTTTTTTTCATCAATTCCTTTTAAAATATCAGTACAGACCTTGAATAACGCTGTCTCGGTACTATGGTGTGCCTTGTATGCTGACTGATAGACTTCGCTACGATTATTTGCTTCAATATGATGTAAGAGTCTATTAGACACAACTTTTCCCAGAATTTTGGATAGGAATAAAAGATTTGAAACTGGTCTAAATTTTTAAAGACCTTTACATCAAGTCCAGCTTTTGTGTGTGTGTGTGTGTGTGTGTGTGTGTGTGTGTGTGTG